GGTTATTTTGTTTTGCTGAGATTTTGTTGATTTTTATTTGAAAAGGTGTGTGGGAGGTTGTAGAGTTTTTTGTTTGTGTTTTGTTTGGTTTTTTTTGTTGGGGGGTTTAGTTTATTTTATATAGGGTTTTTTTGGGGGGGGTTTTGTACGTTTTTTTGTTTTGTTTGTTTAGTTGGTTTTCTTTGTTGTATTTTTGTAGGGTTTGGGGTATTTTTTTGGTAGGATTTTTGTTTGTATTTTGTTTTGGTTTTTTGGCCCTTTTGTTGTTTTTTTTTTTTTTTTGTCGTGTTTGTGTCTGTTTCATCGGTTGTTTTTTTTTTCATCTTTTAGTTTGTTTTCTTTGGTTTTTGGGGGTTTGTTTTGGGGGGTTTTTTTGGTTGGGTTTTTTTGTTTGTGTTGGTTTGGTTGGGTTTTTGTTGGTTTTATTTTTATGCTTTGAGGTTTCTTGGTAGGATTTTTTTGTTTGTCTTTTTTTCTTTGGTTGGTTGTTTTGTGTTGGATTTTTTGGTGCTTCGGCATTTTTTGGTAGGGTTTTTGTTTGTGTTTTGTTTGTTTTGTTGTTTCTTGGGATTTTTGGTGGAGTTTGGTTTTTTTGGTAGAATTCTTTGTTTGTGTGTTGTTTGTTTTATTTGTTGGGGGTTTGGGTGGGTTTTTTGGTAGGGCTTGGGGATTTTTTTTGGTAGGGTTTTGTGTTTGTGTTTTGTTTGTTTTGGCTGATTGATTTTTGGCTTGTTTGGGATTTTTTAGGGATTTTTTGGTAGGGTTTTGTCTTATTTGTGTTTGTTTTGGTTGGTTGAGGTTTTTTGTTGTGGTTTTTTTTTGAATGGTTTGAGGGGTTTTGTAGGTTTTTTATTTGTGCTCTATTCTGTTTGTTGGGGGGTTTTGTAGGTTTGGGGTTTTTTTGGTAGCGTTCTTGTGTTTTATTTTGTTCTATGGGATTTTTGTTGGGTTTTTTAATATTTAGGGTTTTTTGATAGTTTTTTCTTTGTGTTTTGTCTGGGTTGTTTGTTTGGATCTCTGTTGTTTCTTTGTAAGGTTTGGGGTCTTCCTTTGGTAGAGTTTTTTATTTGTTTTTGTTTTGGTTGTTTGTTTTCTTGGTAGGGTTTGGGGGTTTTTTTGTAGGTTTTTTTTTGTTTCTTCGTGTTTCTTTCTTTTGGCAGATTTTTGTAGGTTTTTTGGTTTTTTTTGTCTTTTTGTTTCCCTTTTTAGTTTGTTTTTCTTTAGGGTTTGGTTTTTTTGGTAACTGTTTTGTGTTTTGATTGTGTTTTTTGTTTTGTTATTTTGTGAGTTGTTTTGGTAGGGTTTAAGGATTTTTTTGGTAGGGTTTTTTGTTTGTTCATGTTTTGGGATTTTTTTATTGTTGTTTTCTTGGGGGTTTTTATTTTTGCTTTTTTTTTGTTAAGCTTTGGAGATTTTTTTGTAGGGTTTTTTGTTTCTCTTTTGCTTGTTTTCTTTGGGATTTTTTTGGGGGGGAATTTTTTTTGTAAGGTTTTTGATTTGTTCCTGTTT